GGGCTCTTCTGCATGGTGGTTACATAAACCTCACAAAAACAAAGTACAGCAATCGAGTAAATCCCATACAGCAGTTCACTGTGAGGGTAATTGAAGAAGGTTAATCCCAGATTATTAAGGCAACTTTTCTTTGGCAAGAAGCCCTGGTGCTTTGAGCAGTAAAAGTCAAATATTCACACAGTAATCAGGACAAAGATACGTTTACCAAACAATGTGCATGCATTTTGCATTTACCTTACTTGAATTAATTTCCCACATTTCCCCTTCTCTGTTTCTGAGTTCAGAGTATTTTTTAACTTTATTCACCACTCCTGATTTACCATAGCACAGCAGACATACTACCTGTGCTTTCTAATCCATCATGTTACCAAAGCATGTCTGTTCATGGCCAGCCCAGCGCCAAGCAGTGCTGCCTGCCCTGGGTGTTGCTGGACTCTGGTCCCAGCCGGGCACTGCGCTTGTGATACTTGTCCTATCCCCAGCACACTTTGACAGCAGTGACTCTGCCTTCAGGTTACTGAGGTAAGGAATCTGTGGATTTGACTAGCTGAGTGATAATGGGAAACAGAATGGATGATAAATGATTGCAAATTTCTTAGCCCTCTGACAGGCCTGCCACAGCATACAAACCACTCTTAAAGGCCAGAGGACCGCTGATCTCTGGAGCATGCATCACGCTGGACAGGCTGCAGAACAACAGTGCGCTGAGCCCAGAGCACTGTACGGGGACAGACGCTGGCCCTGAGCCCATCTCCCAGGTTTAAAATGACCTTTACATGTCCAGTGAAGACTTCCTTGGGCCCAGAGCGGTAGAGGAACATAGTACCTAGGGGATGATGCCAGGGGATCCCCAGCAAGTATGTGTGACCTTTGCTGAACACAGGGAGAGGGCTGAGCCCAGCACAGGGACACTGCCTGCAGCTGGCCTGAGCACCAGTGCACATCGAACACCAAACCCCTTGAAGTGGTCCATCATCCAGCAGCATCTTTTCTAGGACATGAGAGGGGTAAACTCCCTCCCATGCTCTGAGGGGTTGGTGTTGAAAGTAGGTTATGCAAGTGAAACCTGCCCTTGTTTCTGAAAGTCTTTTTTTTTTTTTTTTTTTTCCTGTAAACAATAAACTATACTTGAGCTCTAATCTGTGCTAAGATAAAGCATTTAACTTCTTCGCATCTTGCCAGCTTTACAGTCTGAAGGTTGGGGACGGCTAGGGGGAAACCCAAGAAATCTCTTAAGCTGTGGGGTTTCTGTTATTGTTATTTTCCTTTGTAAGATGAAAGTGATTTTCTGTAACCTGAAACTGTTGGATTTTCCTCTTTTCCCACAATGTTTTTTTTTTTCTTTTGTTATTGACATTGCATAGGAGACAATCTATCTCTGAACAGCTTAACTTCTCAGGATGCTGGGATCTCTTTGGTAAGGCTTCCTTCTGCCCTTCACTTACAGGAAAAGAAAAATAGGTGTATTTTACTCCCATTGATGAACAGATGAGTGTTATTGGTGAAATTCAGTTCATTATTCCATATACCTTGTATTGAAGCCATCAAATGCTGACAGAACAAGAGGAAATGGCCTCAAGTTGCACCAGGGGAGGTTTAGACTGGATATCAGGAAAAATTTCTTAACCAAAAGGGTTTTCAAGCACTGGAACAGACTGCCCAGGGAAGTGGTTGAGTCTCCATCCCTGGAAGTATTTAAAAGATGTGTAGGCATGGCACTTAGGGACATGCTTTAGTGGTGGATTTGGCAGTGCTGGATTAACGATTGGACTCGATGATTTTAAAAGTCTTTTCCAACCTAAATGACCTAAAAATGTTAATCTTCTTTGCAATGAAATCATTTGTCTGACAAACATGTTTTTAGGGCACTTGCACAACCATCTTTTGGTGATGTACATCTCTGGACACACATCTTGGATACTTCTCATTTAACCTGGACATTCTTGTATTAAAAGCATGCAGATGTTCTTTCAGTTCAGATTAACACATTTGGGAATGTCCATTCACATTAAAAACAATTAAAAGGATCACAGTGCTTTAGGAGGAAATGTGGTTATGAATCCTCACTCGAGAGTAGGTGCTGTGTTTTGGTTTTCAGTATATACCCAGTTCTGCCCTTTTTGATATTTCTCTGAGTCTGAGAAATAGGGGGAAGTTGGGGTTTTCTGTTGTTGTTTTTGCCAATTACTAAATGTTCAAAATAATGACGTTTAACTGTACTGGAAGTGCATTTTTGCAGCAGTGGCTCTGCTATTAGGAAAAAGTTGGTGATGTCAGTGGGTCTACAGGAGAAATCTAGCAGCAATATATTTGAACAGTATTCCCTTTGAGTGCAAAATATTTCCACCACAAGTGCTGATTAGTGACATTAATTTCCTCTACACAGCACATGCATTGCAAAATTTCACTTGTCCTTTCTGCTTTTTTCCGAATGGTTTTGTGTGAAAGGAAAGCAAAAATGTGGTATGTGTGATGCTCTCGCATCTTCCTCTTTTCCACAGTAATTGTTTTTAGCAGAATTTAAAGGCCCTTTCTTATTAAATCCAAGCTCCCCTTTTCAGGCTACAATGCTTCTTCTACCCATTTAAACCCGTTTCTGGAGCACATATAGGTGAAATGCTGAAGGCCTATTAAAGTGCATGAGAAAGCTTATTCCTATGGGGATTTTGCTGTGAATTAGTGGGCTTATATTACCTGCTACAGTGCTCACAGAAAGGAGTCTCTTCTGAACTGTGACTTCAATATGTCTGAGTCCTTCAACTTTGTTAGCATCCTAAGTAGGTATAATACCTCTTCCCTTGAAGAGATGGCTTCTGAGAATGAAGAATATGTGCTTAGGGAAGCTTTAAGTGATGGAAAAATTATGACTTCTGCTTCTGATCAAAGCAGAACAAAGCACTTGACTGCTACACTCTGTTATTGCAGTCTCCTTGCAATCAGGGAGCTCTCCAAAGGAGAAGATATCAAGAGCCATGATACCTAGAAAAAAAAGAAGGAGCTCTGACCGAGAATAGCATCCAAGGGTTCAGCTGTCTGTCTAAAATCTAGGCAGCCTTAGTGAAGTGATTAGCTGCTCTGGATTCCTCTGTGGGTAAGAAGGGGGTTTGATGCCTCTTTGCTACAGACTGGCAGCTGATGAGCTCAATAACTTTCCCTGGGACTGTTCGTCTAAGAGGAGGGTTAAACCTGGAGGAAGAAATGCAGATGTGGATGTAACAGGCTGGAGTTTCATTCTAGCTGTAATATGCCCATAGTAGAAATATTTAAAAAACAACAAAAAAAAAAATTAAAGCTTGCATTTAAAGTGAAAGTGAGATGATAAACTATACAGCTATAACAGGGTTGCAAGTATCTCTAGAATGGTGCAGGATACATGATTAGACTAGGAGTAGAAAGTGCATGGGCCTGTCTGACTTGCAGAGGGGCAGTCCCTGCCTGAGAGCTAGGACCATGACAATGTATGAATGACTATATTAATGATATTTTTGTCTTCTCTGAGTACTGTGAAAACACTTGTATGTAAACAGATGGTACTAGTGTCATCTGCATTTGCAAACCATGCTGGTGGTCCTGTTAGAAAATGCATAGGTAGAGTACAACTGTACAAGATTTAAATCGGAGCCCAAATCACAAAACACATGCACTAGAAACCCTGCAATGGAGAGACACAGTCCTGCTCTGACTCAATAGCAAACCCCTCTCTGCCATTTCATATAGAATCATCTTTTTATCTACAGAAAAGTTGTAAACTATTCTTATTCTGGTATCTGATTTCTCCATTGAACACCACCTGGTTAAGTATGTCAAAATAAACTCTGATTTGTATTACAATCCAATGAGCCAAATTCACTTCTACATCAGTCCGTCTAATCCATCTAATTCAAGGAAGTTAAACTGAAGAAGAACTGGAGCAACATAGTGGCAAATCATTTCTGATAAAAAGGATGCATTTAAAAGCAATTAAAATCAGCAAGCCAGAAATCTGCATTTAAATGAATGAGTTTAATCTTGGTTTGTATTTGCACTTTATTTTTTTTTTCCCTTGAAGAAAATCAGGTTTTCTTTGGTGTGTAACCCTCTCACTGTGATTATTACAGCTAAATATAACCCCTTACACTATACCAGGTTTCAGTTTATTTTGCAGGAGGGTGTGCAGGATCTGCACAAATCTACATCGCTTAGCATGTATTTACTCCCTCGGGCTCTTATTTACTAAGTGGTTTGTTCTTCTGACTGGTTTTCTTTGGCCGCTCTGGTTGGTGAGGGCTCTGCTCTTCTGGGCTTTAGAGCAAGGACGACGTCCCACGCCTCTCCCCTGCCCCGTCCGGAGCCAGGCTGAGCCTGGGGCTGGCGGTGGGTGCCATGGGCGAGCGGTGGGTGCCTCCTGGAGCAGGGGGGACCCGGTGCTGGGAAGGCAAGCGCTCCCTCCACCTCTCCCGCCAGGGCCAGGGGTGCTCTCCGGAGCCCGTTTGGTCCCGGTGGCGTGTCCGGCGGCTGCTCCCTGCCCGGGTGCTCGGCCGTCACGGCCAGCACGTGTGGCTTAAGCGGTCTCTGTTACATTTTCTTTATGTCACTGCACATGATGGAGTAAATCCAGCTGGGCCTGAAATGATGGTGTGGGGCTTTTTAATTTCAAATATAATTTTACAGGATTATTCCGCAAGTAGCATCAGGTGTTCAACTGAGTTGCCGTTTCAACTCCAACTGGAGAAGCCCCACTGGTGCTGGCACTGCCCAGCACTTACGCCCGATGCCCGCCAGCTGCAGGCAGGGCCCTTTCCTGCCCCCTCGTCCCGAAACCCTCCCGTCCCCGCTCTTGCTGGTGGCACATCCAAACCGGCACCCAGGGGCGAAGGCGGCACCCGTGCCTGTCCCTGGGCAACGGCGGGGCAGAGGGCAGTGGGTGCCGCAAGCCTCACACACGCCCCACGAGGAAGCCGTGGGCGGGCGTGAGGTGACTTATGAGTCCGAGAGCCCGCCCGCCGCACAGCACAGCCTTACCCCGGCAGGCAGCGAGTGCCTCGGCGGCCCTGCGGCAGCAGCCGGGCGCCCATGGCCCGGCACTGAGCCCCCTGCCTCCTCCCTGCCTCAGGGGCTGGCCTCGGGGCCGCTCGCCCCGGGGAAGCCGCAGTACCCCCGGGTGGCTCCGGGGAGGGAAACAGGACAGGCTGAGCTGCTTGCGCTTGTGTTTTTTCGGGACAACAGCAGGCAGGAAGGAGAGGGGCGCAGCGGCGGGTGCTGTGGCTCCTCAGGCGCCATTCCCCTAACCGTGTACCCCTGTCCTTCCGGCCCAGGAGCTACAGGAAGATGGCGTGCCTGCCTGCCGCCCCGCCAGCGCTGGGGTTGAGGAGGTGGCTGGGGCTCGGGTTCTTCATGCTACTCTGCCTTAGTTTAGGTAAGCAGGAGGGGCCGGCGTGGGAGCGAGGGAGGGGGGGTTTGTGCTGGGCCCCAGCGGGCAGCAGCCACCCGTGTGTGGGTCAGCAGGGGATGGTGGCTCCCAGGGCGCTTGTTCTGGTGCCTTCTGCCCGGGCTGGGGGTGGCTGGCTCGCTCTGATAACCGTGGTGGCAAGCGCTGAGGACCTGTGAGCTCTTGACTCCCCCGGCCAGGCATGCCGGGCTGCGGGCTCCCAGGTGGGGTGAGAGGAAGGAGGGTGTTTTCGGGGTGGCTGACGTCTGCGGGGAGCGTGTGGCGCAGCCCCGCAGGCTTCGGCTTTGGCGGAGGGGCGGTTTCTGCAGTTTTTTGGATGGCTAAAAGCGAGCACGCGGTGGGGGAGACGGGGCAGGGCGGTGGGTCGGAGGGGTCTTGGCCGCCTTGGCAGCACAGCGCACAGCAGATGCTGGCTCCAACGACACAAGTGCCCATCAGAGGACTGCAAGGACTGGCCCCCGTCCTTCTCTGAGGACCTGCCTCAAAGCTCACTGAAGTCCACAGGTCCCTCCTGACCTCAAGAGGCTTGGGATGAGTCTTCTCAGCTGTGTGAAGTGTCAACCTCGAAACCACACAAAACTCACTTCTGAGCTGGGGTTCATTGTGGATGCAAAATAGGTTGTGCTTATTGGCAATTTTAGTGTTTCTTTGCAGCTAATGATGCTGCTCTAGAGCAAACCTGGGCTGAACTGAGGCTTTGATTAAAAAACAAGTGATGCAAAATTAGGAGTTTTTCATGCTGATGTTGTGAAACTGGGAGATATTTGATGCTGAGTTTCATTTTGAGTTTCAGTCTTAGAATCTTAAAACAAAACTCAGAGAATTTAATAGAGATTGAATCACAGAGCTCACTTTTAAAGAAAGCAACCACCACCTCATGAGATCTCTGCTCTCCTGTCTTACCCTGCACTCCTTTCCCTATCTCTGTGCTTGCGAAGCACGTGTCAAGCATGGATATATTTTGCCTGTATTGCAATGGGCAAACAATCTATCGTGTGCAGAACTGTTTCTCTCTCCATACTTCAAGAGCTTGTGGTATGTTATTAATGTAATTACGAGCATGTGGTTATTCGCCAGTTGCGTAGTTTCTCTAAAAAAGATGCTGATTCCAGGGACAAAGATGGGCAATAGTTGGATATACAGTCTGGTGCATGCTAATATCCAGTACTAGAAATAGGAGTTTGGTAATAGAAAACTAGGTGTTCCTGTAGTTGTCCCTTTTTTTAATATGGTTTACTAAGAGAATTGTAGTTTATCTTGCTTTCCGTCTCTCCATCTGTCTTAGGCCCCTGCTTGTAACTTTCAAATTCCCTTTCCAGTTTCAACCAATTTGGACGGGAAGGCAGAGCTGGCAGAGATGCGGCGTCCGTGCCCGATACGTGGAAGCCGCTGGCTAGCCACAGGCAGCACCCAAACAGCCGGAGCCCACGCTGCCCCTCCTCCAGCCCAGCTGACGGGAAGGGCAGGAGGCGGCTGTGAGGGGGCTGTAAAGAGCGTGGTGGCACCGAGGGCTTGGGAATGGGCTGGGAGGCGTGGGGAGAGGTGCCTCGGCTGGGAAACACAAGGGACAAATTCATAGGCCAGCAGAATTTGGTCATTCTATTGCTGAGAAGACTTACTTCTCCAAATCTGATCAATTACCAAATTCCGGGGTTTAATTCTGCAAGAGGCAAAGTGGAAAAACAAAACTATTTTAAAAGCATTATGTCAGCTTTTGTGACCTAATTGTTAGATGCTTCCCACACAATGAGTCTATGGAAGTCCTGGTGCCTCAGGAGCACTTTGCTTGGCAGACTGATAAGATGCACTTCCTTTCCTTTCTCTCTCTGTATGCATGCATACACACCCTGCCACCTTTCTCTCCAAAAAGAAATATTCCTAGGTTAGTGACACTTGAAATTACATGGCACAGTACCCACAAAGGAGTGGTTTTAAAAGCTTTACCGGCACATGTAGGTGACGCCTTCCCTAGGTCGCCCACAGGGACCACAAGGACCGACTTCTGACCTTGTCGTGGCAAAATGGTGAAGCCCTCGGAGTCTGCCGTCGCCCTGCCAGTGGCTTCCCACGCACTGTTAAGCGAGTCACCAAGGCCAGCATTTACAGAACTGACATCAGGGTCAGGCTCATGATCACATCAAGGCACCGTCAAAGCCAACACCCAGAGCCTGTGGCTACACCTTGTGACCTTGGGTTCAGCCCAGGTGTCCTGGTGCTCACACACCTCTGTGCTGTAGAGCTCCGAAAGGTCAGGTAGCATGCTAGGGTGAAAGCAGGTGCTCTCTGTATACCCTGTGTGAGTAAAATAGTAATATAGGGAATACCAGGCTGAATTTTTACATCATAGCAGTAGAAGGCATTAATGGGGCCTTAATTCAAAAGGATGATTTGAAGGTTGTGTTTTATAGGAAATCGTGTATGCCCAAACTATGTAGCCCTATTTGTTTCCCCTTGAATTGAATTTTGCTACTCTCGGGTTCACCTGAGGTGACCCACTGAAATGCCAGTGTAATTTAGAGCTGCTTCTGAGATCTCATCTGCTGCTGGAGACACTGATGTGCATGAACACCCTGCGGTCTCAGCACAGTGGAAAAGTGGCAGAGCAGCCTTGATTATAGCACAAACTTATTTATTTACAGTTTGAACGCATTGCCTGTATCCTCATGGGCTTGTTTTTCTCCTGCCATTACACCTTCACACCTACCTACAAATTGCAGGATGTTCTCAGTCCCTGTTCATTATACTAGGAAAATGTTGCTAGAAGTTGCTCGGTACGACTTTTCCCTGCCCTGTGTGCAAACACGGCGTAGGCAGTGCCTGCAGGGACCCAGCGAGCCCTGCTTTGTGTCCATGGAGTATTCCTTTTAAGCTTCCATGGAGTCTTTTTTTCCAACTGGGGACAGCCTAGTTCTTGGTTTCTTCCCAGTGGTGAAATTTTTTGGGAAGTTTTGAGGAAAATCCCTACAGCTTTTCTGAGTTATTGGAGAGTTGAGAGGGGGGGAATATCCACTTCCCTCCACATTGTGAACGAGCACTGGCTCACAAGTAACTCAGCCTGGGAATCCCCTCTCGCATGTTACTGCCAATAAAGAGCTCGGAGTGGAGCTGGGTTTTAGAAAGGGACGAAGAGGGTTGAGTACGAGAAAGATTCCCTGTTTCATGGCTACCCCCACGTACAGAAGTGCCTAGCAATGAGCTTTAGGTGCTTGACATCTATTTTCCATGCCAGCTCTGGTATGGGTTGTGCCTGGGGCAGATTTCATGGCGGAGATGGCAGAAATTTTTTCTTTATGTGCCAGATTTGCCTACTTGATCACTGGATGCAAATTGAGTTTCTGTCTTATTGCTCTTGCTGCCTTCAGCTGTTTTTTTAATTTATTTTTTTTTTTTCGGATGAGTTTCTGTCTCCCACTGTTCCAGACATGCAGAAAAGAAATATCCTTGGTTCAAAAACAAGAGCAGCGGAACTAAGAAACTACTTTTTCTGTCTGCCTCTCTGTCTATCCAGAGTGAAACCTGCTGTAGCAGCTTGTCTGGAGAAACAGAAACCCAACTGAAGGCTCCTGCTTTTGCCAATGGACTTGGTTTTACTTCTTCTGTTGTGTTTTTTTTTTTTTTTTTTTTTAAATAATTCTTTAGAAAAAACACAGAAAATTAAACATAGACAAGCTACATTCTCACACAGTCGAATAACAGTTATATACCTGCATACCAAGTTTGTGAAGCTACTGGTCGAACAATCCTTTCACCCACATTGTTTCCTTTTCCAGTTAGATCAGAACGAACCCAGATAACTCTGGTGAGCTCGCATTACTCTGAGAGCAACAGCTTTTTTGCATTTCTTGGATCACTGAGACATTTGTAACCTTTTTGCAATGTGAGTGTCAGACGATCCTGCATCTAAACATGCAAAGTTTGGGGCTGAAATTTTTATGCAACTGCAGTAGGTTACCGGCAGAAGTTGCCACCCTGTACACCCTCACGCCTTTCTTGCTCGTTGCCGCCTCAGTTCTGAGTTACAAGCATGGTTTAATGGTTGCAATTAATCAGACGTAAATGAAGGATGCCATTTACAGAATTGAGTTAGTTTTCTGTAGGGGTCAAGCCTGCTCTCTTCAGTGCCAGTTTGCTTTCACACCCAACTCTGTGTACCCCAGGCAGGCTGCACAGCTGAGGGGGCCACACAGGTCATTGCTGCCGAAAGGTGCAACCTTGTTCCTCTCTCCTCTGCTTCTGGCTACACGATCTTCCTCTCCTTTGCACTAGTTCTGATACATGCCTGATCCATGGATGACCTAATTCACCTTCCAGTTTAGCAGAAAGTTTCTTTTTTTTCCCTTCATTTAAACCAGTGTGGCATATTAAACCAGCCTCTGGAGAGTCCTGCAAGGAAAGCAGTAGGAGCACTTGGGGTTGGAAAGGAAAGGGGAGCCGGATCCCTTCTGTTTGTGTGAAGAAGGCATAAGAACAGTGCCAGTTTGTCATCTGGCTGCATCTCAAAGTTGTGCCAGGCTGGAGGAGAATTTCCATGTTCAGAGAAACTCTCCTTCCTTTTAAACATGTGTTCCCTATTGTAGGCGCTGAGCACATGTAGATGTGGTATTTTTCATGAGGTGGCAAGGCAAGTGTGCTGAGCACAGTGAAGTCTGTTTGCTTGGTGAAAAGAGGTCGGTATTGTTTTTTAATAGGTGAACTTTATATTTAATTGTAGCTGTTCTGTCCCCTTGGAGGGACATCACCATTGGGAGTCTCAGGAGGTCATTTGGGAATATGTAAATCTTTCCCAATGTGGAAATGCCATGGGCTTTGCTTCTGTTTTTTCACTATTATGCTTTTAAAATATCATTGGTCCCAGGGGACCCCCTGGCTGAAAATAAAAGTGCTGACTGCTGGCGAATGGTGGCATCTCTAGCTATACTGCACTCAAAGGATGTTAATCTTTTGGCGAGCTCAGAATGCTACCATAT